AAAAGTCACTAATGCCCAATCTAATAATTACAATAAAGAATATCTATGCCATTTTATAGCTTTATGTTCCCATGAGCACAAAATTGAAGCGATAAGGCGATATAGTCTTTTTCATATATCCAAATGGTAATTTGATGCTTTATGCCTTTTTTTTCAGGCTATATAATGGAAAAGTAGTAAGTTAATAATTTAAATCTAGTGAATAACAACAGAAAACAACAATTACCAAAGTGGATGACAGATCCAATATTGAGCAAATTATCCGAATGGCCACTGAACTTTTGAAATCGTCGAGTTTTGTCCACTGAACTATTAAAGTCAGATTTTAGCCACTGAATTATCTAAAGTTTAGATTTTGGGTCATTCCGTCAGATTTAATCGATAATTATGCCCTTTATTTTTATCTCGTGAATCGTGCAACCAGTCAAATCCGTTATGTTTAACGGTGAAATCTAACGGAATGATCCGAAATCCAAACTTTAAATAGTTCAATAGTCAAAACCAAATTTTTAATAGTTCAATAATTAAAACTCAACGATTTTAAAAGTGTGGTGGCCATCCAGATAAATTGCTCTTCAACATTTCAACCTTATAGTCAAAAAGCTGCGTCAAATTTCAGCTTTCGAACGTTTTCAAAAGCGAAAAGAAAGTTCGCATGATCAGCACGTTAATGTTGCCGTTTTGTTTATAAAAATCCAGAGGTCATTTAAAACAACGTTATTGTTGGATTATGAAAGCTAACATGCTTTTCTAGCTCCAAATGGATAACTGAAATCTAATTAATACTATTCTATGGCAAAGGGTGATCATTTCCTTGGATTCTTAAGAAAAATTTAATCAAATTTAGAGGTTTTTTTTTTTTTTTTTTTTGCATCAAATAGGAGGTGTATTTTAAAATCCGTTTGGATTCCCATTACTTGGAAAAAATTTTGAAAATCTTTTTGTGAAATACGTGATTTTCTGATTTTCTTTTTATCTCATATATATTACATAATAATAAGTGTTACAATATATATATATATATATATTGATAAATGACTTTGCCTGTCCCTCAACTTCAGCTCATGTACTTATTTTGTCCCTTATCTTTATAAAAATCCTGATTATGTCCCTGACCTTAATAAGGGGCAATATAAGATCAAGAGCTAAAGTTGGGAGACAAATGAAGTTACAGACCCTTTTTTTTTTTCTAAAATATAAAGAAGGTATAGCACAAACGAACTAACAGTATGTGAAGCTATGCAGTCGACCATGATTTGCATCTGACGCCTTGTTAACGTTGGAGAGTTATGGTTGATTACTTAAACCAAATTCCATTTTCTTATTCCGAAAAACAACAATTAAAATATTTATTTGGACTCCTAAACAAACTAAAAGAAACCAAAATTATAGCTACAAACTGATGTTGCATGTGGGAGTTTTCATTCATTCTTTCTTCTTTTTTTTTTTTTAAGGTGTGGGAAGTTAGAATATTCTGTACCCAAATTCGGGATGCCCAGGCAACGTAAGGGAGACTGCGACCTTTTTGCTTAACGTTTGGTACGAGTTCATGACGATGTGGAAGTTGGAAATACGTACCTGCAGGTGTAAGTTAGCTAGTTAGGCCTGACTAGTTTGTTCAAATCTTTGAAATAGTACAATCCACAAGAAAATAAATTAACCACACATCATTATCCAGAAGGGAAGCAATTTTAGCCCATCTGATCCCATTTTGTTGTCTAATCACCCCCATAAATTGGCAAGCGTTTCTGCAGGCAAGATAGCAAGGCAAGTACAAACATAACGAAATCCCAAAAAGGAAAAAATTCAATTTCTTTCTTCGCAATTAACCATGGCATTCGACACCCCCATTCTTCGCAGTTTGTGAATTGATTTGCCATGTTACTCCATATATAATCTTGGCCCCGTATATTAATTGACATGTAATTACAGTTATGATAAGAGAACTAACGCATGGAGAGAGACAAATTAAATCATAAATTAGCCAATTAATTGGTCAAAGCATTGAATCACAACAGCTCAAAGAAACTAAATTCGCCACATATAAATAGCAAGCACAAATTGCCATAAAGCTGTGTAACAGCCCTAGTGAAAACCTCCAACTCCCAAAAAAAAAAACGATCAATCAGTTTGTTTTCTGAAAAATTACCAATCAATCCCATAAAAATTATGGCCAAATCATCAAAACTCATCAAGCAAACAACACTAGTGGTTTTCATGGTCATGCTGGTTATGGGGTTTTGGCCAGGAGGACAGGCACAAATTTCTTGTGATACGGTGTCCAGTAACCTCTATCCATGCCTCAGTTTTGTTGTTAATGGGGGTACACTCGACCCTGCTTGCTGCGGTGGATTTAAGGCTCTTGTTACATTGGCAAAAACCAACGTTGATCGTCAGAGTATATGTTATTGCCTCAAATCCCTTCTTTCAAATGCCCCTAATGATGATGAGATCAAGAATGCTGGTAGCATTCCTGGACTCTGTGGTGTTAATCTTCCCTACACCATCAGCCGTGATATCGACTGTTCAAAGTAATTTCTGTCTCTCGTACTTGCTTTATACACATTTCTAGCTCGAATATAATTAGGAAAGTTGTAAATTCTCTGTCATTTTGGGCCATCATCTATAATTTGAATGACTGAAAAATGATGGAAGAGTGATTTTTTGACTTCACAAGTGATATCACTAACAAACTTTTTTCCAATATTTTTCACTTGGATTCGTAGGAAATAATGCACTCATCAATCTACATAAAATTCGAGGAACCCAATAATTCGTTTGACATGATGATGATATCAACAATTTCAAAAATTCTTCTTGGTAGAAACAAAGTATCCCTATTCATGTAGGTACTTATTATGAAGCTTAATTTGCAGTCTGCATCAGCACTAATTAGGATTAGAAAGTTTGCTAATCGGGTAACTAACAATTCTACTTTTTCAACTGTTTATTGCAGGGTGAACTGAATTCACTGAGCAGTACTTAAATGGCTACTTTCTTGGAAGTCTTGCATCAGTTTTCAATCTTGAATGTTTTTGTGGTTTCTACGATTCTTACATACAAGTCTTTTGCTTATCTGTTAATAACGTACTTCCATGAAGATGTTAGTTCTATATTTCAATTTATGTTTCCTAGGACATAGGCTGGGTAATATATTCAACATTTTTGTCTCTTATTTTCTTATTCATAGTTTTTCCCTTCTTTTTTTTTTTTTTTTTTTTTGCCCATCTCTAATATATCCGGTCTATTAATATCTTAATTCCACATATTTTAATCTTACAATGTGAGGCTGAGGAGGCATCACACATGGGGTGCTAAAGAGCATAATGTTAAAGTGCAATTTGCAAGTACTTATGACGTGCTATTTTTCCAAATTTCCGGGTCAAATATGAATTTCGATATGATGGAAATAAATGTTGGAGAACTTTGCAAGAAAAGTTTTTATATTGTGAAACGACACAAATGGTATTTGATGAAGAAAAGTTTTTTCTATTGTGAAACTACACAAATGGCATTTGATGCTTTCTTTATCTTTTTTTTTTTTTTTACCAGCTAAATAATGAAAAAGTAGTAAATCAATAATTGAAATATAGTAAAAAGCAAAAATAAACAACAAATGCCAAATTGGACATTCGTTTGAACTTGGTGCTTCAAGTTTCAGTTTTAGAACAATTTGATAGTAGAAACAAACTTTATAACTTATATGATGAAGGCAATGTTGCAATTTAACTAGCAAAGACCCAAAATCAGGGGTTGCAATGTGCAACTATCATGTCCGATGTGATAATAATATTATTTATTAGACATATTTGTTACGTGTACCGTTAAATCTAATTTTGTGACTGTAATTTAGTAAAAAGATCATTCTACTTATTTGAGTTAGGAACATAAAAAAGTTTAGAAAAAAATTTTAATAATATTCCTTATTTGTCTTAAACACACGTTTTCTAATATTTTTTCATCTCACATCAAATAAAAAAGAAATTGCTATAGTAAAGAAATTTTTCAAATAACTTTCAATCCAAATGGATCAATCGTCATATAACTTGAATTAAGTCCAAGAGCCTAACAAAAGATAATCATTATGATATCTTAATAGTTAAGGGGGCAATGCAACTATAAAAGGTAATTGCACAAAATTTAGGGGAGGCAAATATAATGTAATTACAAAATTTCTCAAAATTCGTAAGACTATTTTGTGATTATACCAAAATTGAGGAGGGGGAGGTGGGTGCAATTTCCCACCTTATGGCCTCAACTGTATGTGGCTCCGCCGCGGGCTAAGAGGTCATGCATTGTAACGTTTTCGTTCAGTTATGCTAACTAACGTACTTTTCTGGCTCCAAAGGTTATTCTAAATGGATAACTGAAATTGATTGATTAATAATACTATGAATAAGTTACTCGGGTAGCTACTAAAAGTTTTCAATACTCAAGATTTGACCATTCAATTATTAATAATATTTTTTTTTGAACTATCAAAAGTGTGAATTTTAGGCTATTCCGTCTAATTCTACTGTTAACTTTATTAGATATAAGGGTTCGTATGATTCACGAAACATACTATTAATAGTTAGATCTGACAGAATTAACGGTGAAATTAGATGAAATCATAGCGTCTTCTATACTATTAGGACTTATTTCAAAGGCATGATTTGCAGCTGAATCTGAAGCCGAGTAACTGATGGGGCTATGGTTGATGAATGAAACCAACTTCGATTAAATTGTCTTATTATGAAAAACAACAATTAAGATGGTTGGACACGTAAACTAGCTTAGAAAAACCAAAACAACAATCTAATGTTCATGTGGGATGTTAGTCACAACTTTGCTCTGAACCCAATTTCGTGATGCGTGTGTCACCAAATTAGTCCCTCTTCCAGGCAACTTTTGCCATGAGTCCATAATTACGCACCTGTTTGTTCAACTGTTTTCATTTTCAGACGTCAAGTGTCTATATCTTTGAATTACTAGAATCCACGAGCAAATAAATAATGTTGGTCGCAAATCACTTCCCAGAAAGCAAACAATTCTATCCCATCTGGCCATCTCATTACATTCCACTTGTCTAATCGCCTATATAAATAGTAAGCACTTCTGCAGGCAATATAGCAAGCCAAGCACAGCAATCCCAAATCCCAGAACTATAAAGAAGGTCAATTTCTTTGTTCGCAATTATCAGTTCCATGGCATTCACAACTATGGCCAAAGCAACCTCACTCAAACCGCTAGTGTTCGTACTTTTTGTATCCATGTTGATCATGAGTTTCTTTCGGAGCGGGCAGGCACAAATTTCTTGTGACACCGTCAAGAATGACTTATCTCCATGCGTTAGCTTTATCATGAATGGAGGAAAAGTTTCTCCTGCTTGCTGCAGTGGGCTTAATACTCTACTCAGCCGAGCAAAGACTAGAACTGATCGCCAGAGTGCTTGTTCCTGTTTGAAATCTGTTGTTGAAAGTGCTACTGATGATCAACTCAAGAATGCTGCTCAAATTCCTCATTCATGTGGTGTTAATCTGCCATTTAAAATCTCACGTGATGTCGACTGCTCAAAGTAATGTTCTCGTCTCTTCCAATCTTCTATTTTTAGGCAATATTCTCATTTTTAGTTACTTCAGCCTTCTGCTTTTCTATAGTAATCCGTAATCTTTCAAGCTTTAAATTCCTTAAAATGGAAAGAGGAGGAGGAGGAGGAGGAGGAGGATTTTCTTCTTCTAGGATTTTATTCGGTTAATAGTTGGAATGGCTTGAACCTAGTTAATATTTGTATGGATTTTAGATGCACAGACTAATATCTCCAAAACCTTTTTGCTGGACGTGCAGCAGATACCCTTTTAAATTGATTTCCACAAAACTCATGGAATCAATTGCATTGAACTCCAAGAAATTAATTGCATGCAAATGGCTTTTACCTTTTGGTAGAGAAAGCCTTTTTCCAATATATATACATACACATTCATTTAAGTTCGCATCAGGAGAATTGACTTGAATATCATGTATTACAAAGTTCTCTAACCAAGTACCTAATGGCCTACTTGTAAAATTTGTACTGCAGGGTGAACTTAGCTTGATGGGCACTTGAGGTGCTTCTCCAGGATGCATCACATCACTGTCTAATCTTGAATGGTTTCGTGGACTTTAAGAATCTTCCTAGGTTCCTACTGATGTACAACAAAAGAATATGCTAAATGTAATGTTTTAATGTTCTATCTATCGAACATAAAGTTGTTTAAGTAATATACCTATTATTAGAGTATACCCGTTATAGTGATTAAGATCAATCGACATTCGTACTTTCTTTCTATTTCCTATTTTTCATGAGCCCTCGCTTTGAATGAAGTAATATATATATATATATATATATATATATATGTATATATGTATATATATATATGTATATATGCGTTTAGCCACTAGTAGAACCAAGAACCAAGATTTGGTTTTGAAGGAGGGAGGGTGGGGGGTGAAAAATGTTACATAGAAAGGACAAATTTATCCAGTCTTGTAAATAGGAAACAACGTGAAATTTAAAATTGAAAATGTTAGAACCTATTTCAGTCCAGAACAGTTTGAACACTACTCAAACACAGACTTTATCAATTTAAGTCTCCCACCACAAGTCAATTTTTTAATTCTGTATTTGCTTGGAAATTTTGTTCATCAACAAAAAAGATTGAACAACTCAGATATGATCCCAAATATGTCGCACGTAATTTCACAGGAGACGTGCCAATATTCTCACATAGTCCCAATCCCTCAGTGAGTGTGTTGTGTTTGAATAGAGTATTATTTGAGATATTATCTGCAATAATTACTATAGCATTTTTTATGATACAATGTATATGAAATAAAAAATGATTAAAAATATAAAAATATAAAAATTATTTTATTTGTGATGATTTAGCTATCCAAACATTCAGGCTAGTATTCTATGAATTGGGCTTCAAATCAGACAAAGCTCCAAACTCTGCCATTGTAGTTTTAATAACTTCAAAAGATTGCTCAATAGCATCATAGAGAATAAGCAAATTACCTGCAAAACTAATTGTTAGAAAACTGTAGTAAATAATAAAACTATACTAGACAAATACAGAGACTTTGAGGCGTGAAAGCACTTTCCTTAAGGTGTTATTTGCCTCTATTAGACAAATTACCTCTAGGATACAACAAAGTCTAAGAACTATCAAATGAAAAGTAAAGTGATTTAATTCTGTCAATTAACAGATATGTCTGCAAAATGTAACCGCCAACCGCCATCAACTACCTCTGATTGACACCCTTTTAGAAAGCCCCAAGGTGCCCCAAGTGCCCTTGTCAAGATTTTATATATCTTGAAATAAGTTTCCCACCAAACTTTCCCTCCAAACTAATATCTTGGAACAAGTTTGTAAAGGAATAGGACAATGACTCATATATAGGCAACATGCACTTTATCCTCTTTCAATGTGGGACAATGGATTTCTACATACTTATTACAAACTATTACCAACACTAATGACTCCATTTTAGCTCAGCATTGCCAAGGTTGGTGGTCGAAACTTCTTTACCTAGCTAATGTTCCACTCAAATAGCATTGTGAACATTTCCAGAGCAATTTGAAAGGTGTAAAGGGAGGCGTAAATATTATGCCTTTTGCACAATCTTGTAAACGATCGAGAAAACGACATAACAAATTTTTTGGAATTTCAAGTAGAGATCAGAAAAGATGAAAGTTGAGGGCAACCTACATAAATTATCTTTTAGAGAACCAAATTTTAATGAACAATTGTCTGCCCATTTGCACAATTCATATAGGACTTAATTAAGATTAATTCACTTTTATTTTTTTCGATTGGTTGGCCAATGGAGAAACTCATCAAATAATTATTTGAGAAATTATTAATGCTTTTCATGCCAAAATTAATTTACCGTAGATTTAGCAAGTGAAATGACAGCTTTCAAGTAGGCAAAAAGTTTCTCTACTTGTAGCAATTGGGTGTTAGTTATCTCCTACTGTCTACCGCTCCGTTTGGATTATCCAACTGGAGATCGAGGCAGTAATCAGTACAATGAAGACAATGCATGGATAGTTATGTAATGCCCAATTTCAACTTTCTCAAAACCCGAGTTGTTGTTAAATCAATGCGAAATTGTTTCAACCTCATAAAGTACTCTTAATTTTTCTTGATCCTCATAATTCAAACTCCATTACCAACGAAAGGTAGAGTTTACACCATCAATAGTGTATAATCAATGATTAACCAATCATATGCCAATGATTATGTGTGAATAAATCCCAATGTGATATGAATACCCAAAAATTTTCCACAGAAATCTCTACCTTTTTTTTTTTTTTTTTGCATCTACCTATCAAACATTTTTAGTATTTTTGATCGTCGAAATTATCATACATTCGAAACACAAATACATGTTTTTCGCATCTTCCTATTATACATTTTGAGTATTTGTGATCCTAGAAATTCAAATTATCATACATACTAAACACAATAATAGTCTACTTACCAATGATTAGAAAATTCCATAGCTACTAGTAATTTTTTTTCAAATCACACCCTAAATAGATGCTTGTCCAGTTGATCATATCAATTAATCCCTTTCACACTCCTAAGTTTTCCTTTTCCAATTCCACCAAAGTCCCTTAACAACCACTTCTTAAAGCCCTTTTCGCTCTACCTATTAAAAAAAAAAAAAGCTTCTTCACTATTTCATCTTTCTTCCTTATTAATCTCTATTAAGTTGTTCTAGCTGGTTAATTTACTTATCAATGGCCAACCCTGGCTTTGTTCTTAAACTAGTAGCCCGTGTTTTCTTGTGCATGTTGGGGAATTGGCCACAACATGGAGAAGCAGTTATCTCGTGTGATACTGTGGTAAGTGTCCATGCCTACCTTATATACAGGAGGGGCAAGGGGAGAGCCCTCTCTGCTGCTCCAATGCGGTGTCCCTCATCAACTCAGCCAACACTCAGACCTATACCTGGTAATTGGACGGGTTGGGCGGTTTTGGGCGGATTGATATTGGATTTTTACTTAAATGGGTTATATTTAACCCGTCCAACTTTAAATTGGGTTATTTTTGGGTTGGATCATATTGGATCATCTCAAACTCATGATCCAAATATGACCCAATATATTAATTAATAGATTTCGATATATAAATTCTCTCAAATATATTTTTACATGCAAAACATTTTTTTCACACACATAAACACATTTTCATATACTAAAACAATTTTTGTCCAAGTTGGATATAGCATGAAAAAATGGTATACCAATATTAAACAAGATCCAATCACGCCTTAATTAAACTGAAATTTGATAAGAGATGTACAATTCTCAACCAATTAGTTCAAATATCACTATCCAATTCATTTGAAAATTCTCGTAAAAATTAACACAGTATTAAAACAGGTAACCATCTACCATTCACCAATAAAACACATTCTAATCCTTCAATAACTCACTGAGGAAAGATAAACAACCACTGACCATCCCAAAAATGCCGTCAGACCACAGCAGATCGCCAAAATGTTTGCTACTGTCTGGAAAGACTCGGTTCAGGCTTTAGCGACGCTGAGATTGCACATGCAGCCACACTTCCTCAACATTGTGGTACATTTATCGCCTATACCATCTCACGGGATATGGACTGCTCAAGGTAAATATTTTTTGGTTTTCCTAACAAATTCTTAAGGTGATTAGTGAGATATTGGCTCGTGAATACTATATTCTACAGTACTGAAACCAGCATTTCTAAACACCAACTGGATTTCGTGATGTAAAATTTTAGCCATGGACGGTACCAGAAAATTCATCTTGTGGGGGCAAATTTAAATATACATAAATTTATATGTATAACACACAATATTTTTAAATTTTTGTGCGAATAACACTTTAAATTTATAAATAGTGTTCTGAAAATTTCTAATTTTGTAAGGAATGAAAATTAAATTTTTTTAAAATTTCCCATCGTCCTTGGTTTCGTCCCTGTTTGTCACTATTAGAAAGTATTAGTAGTGTCCTTTTTGTTATTAATTACTCACCTGTCATTGACTTTTAGCACTAAATAAAACTTACTTTTCGACATGTAAGAATTTTCTTTGTTTTACAACACAAATTGTTAATCATGTAGCGTGATTCATATGTACCACGTCCTGTCATGTGATTTGCATAATGCATTAATCATTTTTTTGGGTCACCTTTGGAATCTGTGATATGATTATGATATGAAACCAAATCACCATACTGATACGAAATGATGTTTTACGACTCCATTGTGGATCATACACCTATGATATTGTCATTTCGTAATTAAGGGTCATTATTACCTTAAGAGTTTATAACAACAAAAGTTATTAAGATGGAAACAAAAACTATAAGGGTATAATGAGTTTAACTTAGAAGATTCAAGGCCATTTTAGAATGGCACCAGACTGTTCAATGGTTGAAAGAAAGTTTGCTCAATACTGATTTCACGCATTGTTTAATCTGTTGCAGCGTGAAGTAAGGTCGACGGCCGTCGCTGTAAGGGCTTCCTTTTCCGGCAGGATTCTCTTTCGTCTTTGTGTTAAGTTTTAACCAATCTGGTTATGCTATCGTTTCTTCTCTTGTTTTGTAATGAGGGCTAGCTTGATGTCTGTATCACCAAAATAAATAAAAAAAATTGTGATTTTATTCATACTATCTCTGTATAAATCTCAAGTTGTACTGTTATAGGGTGATTATAAATCTCAAATTGTGATTTTGGACTAAGTGATATTCATATTGTGCTTTGATTGGTTGCCAAGCCAAATTTGAAGATTGAGAAGGTTGGTTTCTGGACAATGCCACTTTAGAGAACCCATAATGAAGTAGAGCAGGCACTAATACTTCGAATTAGAACATATATATGAGTTTATCCAACAGGGGTCACTTTGTCTTTGCATTTACGTTGTAAGTTGCATCCTGAAAATAAGTTTCTTAATCAATCAAATGAATTGAAGAAATTTTCCAAATCTATACAAAAAAAAAAAAAAAATAGATCCATTAAACCTTGCAGATATTAGTGCTTTATTCTTCACGGACCTTTGGAGATAAAGGATTCGCTAGGAGTTTTGACTTCTTCGTCTCAACCTATATATAGCAAAAAGGGGCAACCAAATGGCCTATAAAACAAGGGATAATTTCAGAAACCTCCTCTGAGCACTCTCAAACTTTGAAAAATCTCACTTAACTTCGCTGCTCTAAACTTTTTGCACCATTTGAAACTCATTTCAAAATATAATATTTAAAACTCATTTTAGAAGAGAGAATACAATTCAATTCAAAAATTTGTCCTTTTCTTGTGATTTCTTAATTGCTAACT